TAGCTTTTATGTCGAAAAGAGGTTAATGCAAAGTACATTTGTCTCACGACGTGACTAGATTATTATCCGTTAATTTCAAGATACGTAGTTAAAACAAATAGCTTCGTTGAAATAATAACTGCCTGTGAACATAATTGAAATAAGAATTTGATAATCAAATTAATCTCATGCAGGCAACTTAATTAACGTTGTTGCTTATAACAGCGTATAATTTGCGTCAAAATTGTTTCGCGTCCAATGAAGATCGTTAGTTTGGTGAGTCACAACGGAACACATTTAAACCAGCACGTGATATTGTTTGGTTTCGTAATAGCAGTACAAAATAACAGGTTGGAGCTCATAACGTTAACGAGAGAGATTAACACTCGTATTTATAGTCAAGCTTAACAGCTCAGTCAACATCGCCGAAGCTGATTTTGCGAACATCTTATCAAGTACCGTTATGTTTTAACAGTACCGCTTTTAACAACCCGACGAAAAAAAGTTAATTTGATTTCAAAATTGCGTTGGGAATATCAATTTATATTGTTTTAAGAACGACTGTTATACTGGTTTGTTCTTTTTAATTTTAATGGAAATGAAAAACTGGTCAGTGCCATTCATAACTGACGTTACTAATCGTATGGAGTGTTTGAATACATAATGAAGTGGTGTGTAGTATTAGTTTAGGCTCCACGAGTACTATGGATACGGCAGGGCGGCACCTCGTTGAACTCTTTCGTATGACGGGCGCGGGCGGGCTCAATGCTCGGCTTTTTCCCTTCGCGCCTCTAATGAGATTTAAGTCCAAACATCGAGAACGGTTATGGCGGAACATTACACGCTCTAGGATATTAAAATGAGACAAATTTATTGCCGCTCTCCGATTATACTTTCGATAAACGCGCAGACCGGTGATTATGATATCTAGTGGTTTAATCGTACGATCGATACGGAGTCGCGTTCCGTTCTACACTAAACCAGTACTAATAAAAAAGAAACTAGTTACGGGCGGGTCGTATCCGACAGTTTACGTTGGAAAATCAACAAGGTGCTATAGGGGGACTATAAGTCGGAACCGCGGTGCGTTATCGACTCAATCGGGCTCGAACAATGCATCGAATGTTTCAATATAGCTCCGACAGCATTTTTAACGTTTCATCGGTGCTGTAACAATCGTAAAATAAATTCTCTACGCCTTCTCAGAGCTCTGATTAATGTTGTACACAGCGCGGCGTCTAGTTTTTATTTTTTTCACCTGTGTGTTATTCTCTAGCTTAATTTATGGAGGCTGGTGACTGAGAGCGCGACTATTTATTAACCGCGATTCCTCATTGTTTGTATATCTTGATGTTTGATACCACTTAACACAAAAATAAGTACATTCTACATGACAAACTTTTGTAATATATTGTTAACCTAACCAATGTTATCAGTCAATTAAAGTAGTACTTATTTATAATATTCGTTTTAGACTTCAAAATATAAGTTTTATTCCAAATTGGTTTGGTTTAAACTCGATTGATCTCTGCAGACCGCAGCAGCCGTTTTCTCAGGTTCCGTGGCCGAGTGGGGATCGTTACCCTTGACTGGACCACTAGGTGGAACAAGCTTACAAACATACATAGGCACACATATCAATATTTGAACTATTCGTATTATCAAGGAATTTCTAACAAAAGGAATGATCACCATGCCTTTCAAAAAAGTAAAAATCGTTCGGTTTTTTGAACTGAGAAAGAGCTAACAACTCTACATATGTAGTAGTAGTAGGTTACCGCACCTTATTTTTATTTGCAACGTCCGAGAATCGATTTAATAATCGATTTACTATGCTACTCGTGAGCGATCATTATTCAGCTCAGTTGCTATACTGAAATAAGCTATGAATCCAATACATTATGACCTTATACAGGCTTTATGAGTCCATTGGTATTCCTTAAACCTGAGAAAAATTCTATGAAGGTTAACACACAAAAAAAAAATATGTTATTATGTACGTATGACCATAAAATTAGAACACAATAAATTATTTGTGATACAGTTTCTGAAGATAAAATTCTAATTAATGAACTTAAGGTTGAGATATCTATCGAATTACAGAAATAAATGGTTTATTGAACTGTTTTATTCAACTTTCATATAAATAATATAAACCTGAAACAATCACTGCATGAAAAATTCTCCAAGTGCAAGATGCGAAAAGTTTTTAATTAAAATGGTTTATCAAGCTCCACTTGTTATATATTACACTATATAATTATTTATGGTTACTTTGTAAATAACTAGTATGGATAGAATTGTCACAATTAGCCGATAAATTAAGAGCATATATTTTTTACAAAACTGAAAACATTTCGCGGATAAAATCAGAACCGTACCATTTAAATAATGTATTGAATTCTCTGCGCTATATTAATGTCACAAATGTAGAATATTTATTGTAACTTGCCTAACGAGGAAAACTGGAACTTGTAGCACTTTATAATCAAGACTTTATTGCATTACCGTTCTGCCATCTGGTTCTACAAGTAGTAGACTTTCTTTAAAATGTATGTGCGTACATGGTACTGTCTATTTGAAGTTAAGTAAATCATAAAAGTGGCTATGTTCTCTTGAATGTTACGTTGATCTTAGTAATGTAATAAAAAGATAATTAAAAATATATTAATTGATTTTTATATAAATTGGCACTCTGATTTGTAAACTCATGTCATGAATTAACACATTCCAAGTTGAATTGTAATCCAATAAGAAAATAATATTATATAAGAACTATGTCTTCGACATGTCGTCATTGTAGATAGATCTTGTATTTCTAACTTAAAATATCCTTTGAATTTTTTTACTCACAATAGCTTCTGAAGATAATATGACTCTTACAACATGAACAAGAATAATACAATAAGCAGCTACTGTTCTCGTATATAAGAGGAGTTGTAAACATAATTAAGTATTCAAAGTATTTAATAACTTCATCAATGTATTTCAGCAGCCTTCTTAATCATTGTTAACAATAAAAACATCGCTTGTGGCTGTAAAACGCTTGTAAATCCAATCGGCGAACAAGGTGTAAACGCGCCATCCTTTTGTTCAGGCGTTCGGCCGTCCAGTGGGTTCATTCGCGCCTGCTTAGGTGTGAGCCGAGGGCTCGTTACCTCAGATTGAAGGGCCGCGGTCGTCGGCCGACTCTATACAGATCCTGTAGCAAAAAACTTCGCATGCTCACGCCTATCCACTTAGCTATGTGCTATACGCTGCTCTATAGGGCTATAGTCTCATCACATTGCAGTGTATGAAAGTTAGAATACTCAGCAATATTATGAGATTATTGAAAAGTTCTAGCTAGGTAGCTCATGTTGTTTCTTGTATAATTATCTGTTTAGTATTTTAATAAGATAATAAAAAAGATTAATATTCACAGACAAAGTTCATGTTTTTTTATCAATGAATCTTCCATAAATCAAGTCAATGAAAAATCGTAAAATAAATTTATTCTTAATCGGTTATAGTTCTTGTGTCTAGATTTTAATTACTTCACAACACAAGTCACTTCTTCATATTTATATCCCTTCTTTACCTTTTTAGTTATTTAAAAGTGTTAACAACTAATAAAATTTTATTTATTTTGAGTAATATGGTAATTATTGTCAGGATTACATAATTGGGCGAATTTATGTATGTATAAAATACGCTTAGGTTCGCATTAGAAATGTAAAGTATCACTTACGGAATATATGGTTTCATGCGTAGGCGCTGCGTTTCTGCACATTCTTGCTAATTGCTGAGTCTGTTTACCTACAAAACTATTCTTGATTTACCACCTAATAAGTTAATTAATTAATGTTTATTTCAATTGAATTATTGGTCTGTAGATATTTTCTACAACATACTTTATAGCGTTTTTATATAGAACGTATAATAAACCAATTAGTTAATTGAAATTGCATGGTATTAAAATCTTATTAGAATACCATAATACTGGTTAGATTGCGAAATAGCTAATAAGTAAGTTAATTAATAAATAATGACAAAAAATAAGTATTTAGGACAGAAAAATCTATTACTAATGACTTCATTTTTAATAAGTATCGTTAACAATAACGATATTTTAATTTTTACAATTTTCATTTATCTGTATAAATTAAAAATTACTTATATGTTGTTGCATAAAATGTATAATAAAAATGTGTTACTCTTTTTATTTTATTGTTTCAGTTATTTAAATTATGATATCGCGTCAAAGTATCAAGTACATTCGTTTTTAAAATAGGTTTTAATAAAATGTATACTTTGATTGTGTATTTTCTGTATCTAATTTCGTTGAGAAATATAATTTTAAAACAACGAGGTCTAATTACCTAGGCATGTCTAATGTGTACGTTGTATACTGTAATTATTGTGATAAGGACGCGGGTAATTGTATTCTAATGAAAGTAAAAGAAACTTGTTAAGATTGAATCGTATTTTATTTTCATTTATATTTTTTTCCAAATTCACGTTTTTGCTGATGTTTTCCACAATAAATATTCGTTTAGTTCAGACTACAATACAAAATATACATTAATGTGATATAAAATGAATGCTAACTATATCTAATTTTATCACAGATTGCGGCATTATTGCCATTTTAATTAATAGTAGTCGGCAAGTTTTGCCCAACAAACACAGCCTAAATAGGCCTAACTCATACAACTACTTATTTATACATCGATTTAGTTAAGCTCAGATCACATATTATATGACAGACATTGTGATTACAACAATGTTGTTACAACAGACCATTTTATACCTAACTTCCTAAACACATGATTTTTGTAAGCTTAGTATCTAAACATATACAAAGTCAGGCGTATTTACATTACTATGTCTACAAGTATTATAATTATTTACAGTTTATAAACGCTAACCGACTAGCCATCACAATTTTAAAAGAACAGTCACTTTAATGTTCTGATCACTTCATTCGTATTTAAAATCACTTTTTCACTGAAGTCACATTTGAACAGTTCACTTACACTTTACACATGGACGGACATAGTGCGAGGAGACGCACGAGGTGGCACTTGGTGAGAAGTATGAGAAGGGTGTGGTGGGAGCACAGGGTGTGCGCCGTGCACCGGTGGTTGCGGCAGCATGCCCAAGTGGTTCCTGGCGTGGTGGTGTCGGTGCATGGGCAAGCCGCCGCTAACCACGGGGCTCGGCACACCGCGGCACCTCGGATTATTGCGCACATCGGGCAACGCAAATTTTAGTTTTTCCCAGAACAGTCGATCGTCCGCGTGGAGACACTTATTCGTTTTCAAATACAGTCTTATGTCAGGATCTAAATCCTTTTGAGGCACTTGCCCTAATAACACTACAATCAGTCTTTTTCGCCGGTCCCTCAGTACCTGGTGGAGAGCCGATTTTAGTTCATAACGCACCCACTCACATCTTAGAAAGTTTTCACTGAGCACCATGATTGTGCGACGCGAAGATTCAACCGCTTGTCTTATCTTCTCTGTCACGTGGGCGGATAAATCGCGGTAATACAAGCAAAGTTTGTATGAAGGGTCACCACGCTCCAACATGGATGCAAGTTCTTCAGTCACCCAAACTTCGTCTTTGGAACTGTAGCACAAGAATGCATCGTACATCTTCTCTGAGTCTTCTCTGTCGGTAGCTCTATAAAACAATCGTACGCCAAATTTCGAATGGAACCACACTCTCATTTCTTGCCTAAATATGAAAATAATCATACTCACTAAGGATACAAGTAAAAAGCATCCGAGAGTGGCAACTAACAGTGGTATGTAGTCTTGTACTTCTTCGTTAGTGATTATTGTTCGAGTGGCAGTTAAATTACCATTGATGCTGTTATTGATACTTGGCAATCCAGTACACAACGTCCCGTTTTCACTAGTAATTTTAAATCCGCTGTCCGGCTCGCTATACACGCTTTCATTATAAACTGTCAGTTCAGTAGAGTTCCCTTTCGAGTAGATGCATTTAATATCTGACAGATCTGTTATTGAGCTCACTCTTTTTGTCCACTCACGGAACATTTCGGTGTACTCACAATCACATGACCATGGATTAAACGAAAGTGTAATTTCGGTTATCGCAGGATTGATTTGCCACACTGTCAACGTTACGAGTCTATTATGATGCAGATGTAACACTTTCAAGCGTGCCATATGATTAAACATTTCTTTGCCAATGCGTTTAATTTTATTGTTATTGATGTACAATTCTCGTAAGTTGTCGAGTCCATCAAACTCCTGACCCTCGAGATTTGAGATGCTGTTAAAATCCAAATGTAATATTTCCAATTCTTTTAACCCATTGAATGTTCGATTGTGAACCGTTTCAATATTTGATGCATTTAAAAATAAAATCTTCAATTTTTTACGGCCTATAAATGCGTGGCTCGGTAATACTTTGATATCGTTACCATCGAGGTACAGTTCTGTAGCTTCCATTGGTATTTTCTCCGGCAGCATATTTACATAAGCAGAGTTTGCACAATCAACAACATTTGCTGACCAAGACGGGTCATGGTAACAGGTGCAGTTATTAGGACAAGTCATTTCACAGTCACAGGCGTCGAAATCACAGCAGTGACATAGTGCGTGACAATGTGATTCATATTTACACAGAAACTGGTGTGGTGCAGCTTCAATCAAAGCCACTTGTGCATTCCCGCGACTGTACAACAGTTTGCAGTTGATGCTGTCTAAATCCATCAACTTTGGCTGTGTTCTAGCTCTGTTTCCAGTGTTTATTTTTTGAAGCCAATCCATTGTGCAATCACACTCCAGTGGGTTACCGCCTATGAAAAATTCTGGCACCGTTTTATCCTGTGGCACGGCAGATATTCTCAATGAATTTGGGTCCAAACTAGTTATTCTATTCCCATACAAATCGACTCTTGTTAAGTTTGGTTTTTTAAAGAACGTGTACGATTGCACTTTTGAGATTAGATTATCATTTAAATATAACATTTCTACGGAATTTGGTATTGCACTTCCAGTTATTTCTGTTAACTTATTAGAACTGGCGTCGAAAGTACTGAGCGATAGTTGCGATTCAATCTCAAAGTAATTTCCAAGTTCAGCGATCCTGTTAGCGTGAATATCCAGCCACTGCAATCCAGTTGGGATCATTGCATAGTCGAACCATTCCAGTCGGTTATCAGAAATGTTCAACCACACTAAATTAGGCAATTTAGCGAAAAGTCCGCCGATGTCTGTCAAGTAGTTTCCATCTAGTCTTATCGCTTGCAAATTCACGTTAGCATCAAATGCACCGGCTTCGATCTTGTGGATTTTATTTCTGGATAAATTTAAAATTTTAAGTGAAGTCATTTTGTCAAAAACGCCTTTACTGATGTTGCCGATATTATTTTCAGTTAGTCGTAACCCGTACATTTGTTCCATTGTCATGAAAGATGCATTTTCTATGCTGACGATAAGATTTTCTCCTAAATCAAGGGTTTTCAATTGCGGTATTTCTTTCAATGCTAGTGGCACTTCATCGAGTCGATTTCCGTTGATGTGCAAGTCTTGTAATGAAGTGCAGTTCCGTAAAGCATGTGGGTGTATTTTGGATATGCGATTACTGTCTATAGACAAAACAGATAGCACTCGCAAGCCCATAAAAGCATAGCTTTCTATATTGGTAAGTCTATTGTTTGATAATGTTAATGTGTCCAGATTGCTTAGCGAGCTGAATACATTTTCTGGAATGTGTTCAATAAAATTATCTTGCATTTTTAATGTTTGCAAGTTATGTAAATCTCTGAATAGTGCTATTTCCATTTTGGATACTCTATTGTGGGAGAAATCCAAGTAGACCAGCCTTTTAAGCCCAGAAAAAGTGGAAGTATTAATCCAGTCTGAAGTTAGTTCGTTGTAAGACAAATCTAGTACTAAAAGTTGTGTTAAATCGCTAAATAATCCAGGCGCTAATACTGTGATAGTATTATTGTTTAAGTATATTTCTTTTAATTCTTTCGTGTCACTGAATAGTTCTGGAGGCAAACTTGTGAGTTGATTGTCCGAGAATCTTATCGTGGTCAATGAGATGAGACCCTCTAAAGCTCTGTCTGCAATTGAATTCAATCCATTGCCTTGAAAATATAATTTTTGTAGTCTTCGTAATCCTGATAGAAGATTAGGAGGTAGAGTGTCGATAACATTTCGGGATAGATCTAGAACAAGTAAGTTATCCCCACATTTCTCCGTCGGATGTCGATGTGCCGAAGAGAATTGAAAGTGACTGATGTCTCTCATTCTATTACCAGTCATATTCAAGTATTCCAAATTCCGTAATGTACACAAAGCACCTTCTGGGAATACTAACATGTTATTCTCACTCAAATCCAATCGTTCCAAGTTTTGTACGTCTCTAGAAAAAGCGCTTGGGGTTATTTCAAGTGACATTGTAGACCAGTCTGTATTGTGTGTTCGTATTGTCAGATTTCTTAATTCCCGTAGTCCTGTGAATGCGCTATCGGAAAGGTTTCCAATCTTGCAATATTCAATGGTAAGCTCACGCAGTTCAATCAACTGGCGGAAACTACCTGGAGCAAGGCTACTTTGAAAGAACAACGCATCGCTGCATTCGAGACGCAGCCTGACTGTAGGATGTGGTTGAATTGCACTGAAGTTTGTGTTCTCCAATTCGCTGTTTATAGTTCTTAACCTACACTGTAACGCAACTCCTGAACCATCGTAATCCGTCATCCACCCGCACTCATCGGGCGCCTGGTACCGTGTACCCGCCGATAAAGATGCACCCCTTACAGTTACAGAGGTGGTTAGCACCAACAAGGCGCACGTAAACCGTGTGAGGTACATTGTTTTGTTTCACTGTTATCACTTTGTATTACATAGTTTTACTGATCATCCTTTCGCACTAACATTCCACAACAACATCGCTTTATCAGCGCACTAGTTCATTTTATTTCGCCTCGCAGTCGAGAACTTCACTAGTCGAACCGGCCACTTAACTCGTTTCTCGCGAGAACACTAATTGGATAGGATCGTGCGTCCGCAACCTACTGAACAGAGATGCACGTGACGCGAGCGACCGCGCTGAGGTCTGGGGTGGAACTGAGTCGCAGTCAAACCTGCGGTGCGCTCGCGCACAAGGCCGCGCCGGTTTACGCGTTCCAACAGGTAAATTCACGCCTAGAGTTAAAACGCCGTAAGCACCTACGAGCTTGTTTCGCGTATGGCTCTTTCGGCTTTGTCACGGAGCTTGTCAGAAAAATATACTGAACACACACAAATACATGCGGTACACACCACCATAGAACGAAACCGCTTTTTGTGATGTTCGAGCAAGCTTTGATACGGTGTGTGCGAGAAGGACAGAGGGATGGTAGAGGGGTAAGACGCGCATAGTTTGGTGGGGGCTCGAGGCAGCTGGCCAGGTAGTGCGCGGGCGCACTGCCACAGTCACTGCTTGTTAACACTCCCGTTGATAGAATTGTATTGCAGACATTTGATGACTGTTGACATTTTGTTTACTCACTATCGCTAATGAAATTAATGGGAGGTATTTACTATGTTGCTAACATTTATAACTCTTTTTGTGGATATTTTAATGTTACTATTTTAAGTATCGTACTAAGAAAAAAAAATACTATTTCATAATATAAAAATACTATAAATAATTTTATTAAAATCTTAAAGGATTGTACGGATTTCATTTAAAATGTGCACAATGTTATAATAAATTACTCATTGTGTACGTATACAATAAAAATCTATTGATTTATTGTTGTGGTGCATGAAAAACCTAATTTTCCTATTATCTGATAGTAATTAGCTATCAATGATACATTTGTCATTCTTGAAGCCTTCAGGCGTTGAAAGTTCCACCACCGCTACTGTATAATAAATAATATTAAAATAAGTTGTATCTGTAGGAAATGCCATTAATTTAATAATCCTATTAAAATGTATCTCGCGTTAGACACGCAAGGTTTGGCATATAGGTAATATTGTTGTAGTTGGTAAACCATAATTATCATTTCCAGGTAACATCAGTCGAATCAACCTTTAATTCAGTTAAACGATTTCGATATAATTTCTGCCGTTGAGCCCTAAACCCTTCATCAAAATAAACATCTGCACATTATGCATTTTGTGGACCTGCCAATTTTCTTGACGCCCTGTTTCATTTATCAAATTGTTTCGGGTCTAATATAGGATATCGTTTTATGATTTATATCAATAACTTAAACGGATCCGTTCTTACTTATTATTAGGAGCTCTTTCGCATGTTCTCGTATTCAAATTCCGTTTCATTAAATAACAATAAGATATCACTCCAAATTGTATGGCGTGGCAATAAAAGTAGGCGCGTCACATCTGTTTCTATTGTGTTCGCTTGGTTGCTAATTGTTGAGCTCATTCACACCTGCCTTTGTGCAAAAAAATTAACGAACGTGCCCTGAATTTTTTCATGTTTGTCAAGCGAATCACAAGAACAACAATAGCGCATCATCTGGCTATCGACAAAATTCTCAGTTTATTACTTTCACACATAAGACTATTTTATCGGTAAAAAAGTGTTAGATGACACCTAAAATATCGCGAAGTACCGAAAACGTATCTATTCAAAATCTAGTTTCATATAAATATTTAACTTATACGCGAATGGTCATGATCATAATTTTATTTGGTGTCGAGATGATAGGAGGACGTGGTTCATCCGTCGCGCGTTACTATTTATGCGAGGTGTTGTGGCCGCGATCCCGAGGCGCCTGCAATATCTCAATTGCAATAAATTATCTCCTTTGACACGCGAGATGCGGAAAATTTGCAATCGCACCAGTCGGGACCATAGAATTCGCGGCTCACCTTCTTTATGTAAACAGTGTAAATAGCTTTGTAATAGGAATCGTATCCGTCCCACTATGACACCGACTCGATATTTCACAGCCAGTCCCACGGGTAGTTTGTCCAGATCGCGCCTAGAGACATTTACTACAAAAGGCCAGCGGGAGATCACTCCTTCGACTTTTTGTCATAAGTGGCGAGGCGTTTCTTGTCCCATGTATATAAAAGAACAGATTGGCGGTAAATCGTCGGTCATTGTGGTGCTATTTAATGTGCATTCGAAGCTTACCATCGGTCGTTATAACAAAGGTTTCAATATTCAATTTACCATTTACTAATGCATCAGCTGACAAGCAACTGCAAGGGCGTTGGATTGTTTGCGTGGACACGATGCAATTTTGGTGTGGATCACTTACCAATGAATCATCTAAGATGCTTACATGCTCCGAAAGAAAAAAAAAGTTAATATTAACTAGTTTTTATTCTACTTTAATGAGAGTATTAGTACTAGGATTCACTGTTTCAAAAAGGTGCGGTTAGCTTCCTTTGAAACCATCATTAAAGCTTGTATTCTCGAAATAAGGTTCAACATCATCTACAGCACTTATAGAGGTACATATGTATGCGTCGCCGCCGTTTACTTTACTGCCTTTTATCGGCCGAGTCCATCAGTGTGTAAAATCATTTCGTAGTCGATTTCCATTATGTTATTAATTTTTGTAATTTCGGTACCTAATCTCAAGCGACAGGTCAGATACCGGTGCGACACTTATCTTGGTGTCGGCGGACACATATAATCCATTAAGTCGTCATTTCCACGCGGTTGATCATTCCTCAACCACGCGTCAAACCCGCCCCCAGACCGCTGCACTGGCGACGGCCGTATTGTTCGCTACCGCTTTATCTCACCTCCGATGCGCCAAGGACTTTTCGGATTATACTTATAAAGTACATTATGAACTTTAAAACAAAAGCCATAAACTCTATAACTCTTTGATCCTCACTCTATACAGACTTTGTCCTTGTCGACTAATGGACTAGTTTGTTATCTAATCGGGAACACACCGGACCTATTAATAATTTCCCACATAATTTTCTAATTAACGTCCTGTCTGGCGTACGGATCGGCCTCTGGATATACGAAAACGGAAATGACGAAGAATTAGAGTTAAGCAATTATTACTAGTATTTTATCAAAGTGGGTAATTTATTTGTCTATGTAAATAAGTACTTACTTGTCGTGAACTTAGTATTGCTATTAACTCTGATGACTAATGACGTTTGTTTTTGTTTCAGGTAATCAGCGTTAGCGATTTCAAATCTTATATGGTACCATGGTAAGCAAAAACAAATAGTGTTTACAAAATAATTTCACAACTACAAGAACGATCGCAATACAGATAGCATACTCACTGCAGGTGATTTGTGAAACGATTCGTGGCCTTACTTAATCCTATTTACGAATAATGTAGAAAATAAAACTTAATGCGCACATTAAACATTAGGAGTGTTATGTTACCTGGTGTTAACCCCTGACGGGTTAAATTGTAGCGTGTAAATTGAAGAGATTTTACACGTGAACGGAACCCTTAGTAGTGCGTCAGATCGCGACACGGGCAATTTGGCGCGCTAGAGCCAACGCGGGTTTATTTGTTCGCTACAGCACCTGGTGATTCAGAACCCACGGGGTGTGGAACACAAGTGGCGTGGAGACAGTTCTGATTTATTACGCTAGTAGTACATGTTTTCGGAATCAGTTTTAGGGTAGACAGTTGTTTAGTTGACACTCATTTCATTCGTGAAGTCAATTGTAAATAATTAATTTGGAAATCGAAGTTATACTCGGTGTGTTTAAAATTGCAAGCTTTTTTATTATACTTTAAAGTACTACTGTTTATAAAGGGAGCCAAGTGTAGCGTAGGTAGTTGATAAACCCCTAAATATTGTAAGGAAAAAAATAATATATATTATTATCCTAGATTAAATGTTAAAACTCAGGACACGTTTTGGGTGACATAAATAAATCAAAATGCGTACGAAGAAAAAAAGAATGCGCTCACGCCAGTCCACTCAAATCCCTTTTGTGTAGCTCCAGAGACGCACGACGTGATGTCGAATGGGACCGGTTAGATTACGCATTCTCGTGGCACAATTAGAAACTGTTGCGGAACCATTCGCTCACTTTGTTATTTGCAAACAATCGCCGGCGACATCTGCGCCCCTCTCTATCGTCTCTCTATGCCGTGTCACCGCTGACTAATGGTGAACGCCGAGCATCTGCTAATTGCGACCCATTCAATTAGGCCGGCATCGAAGTAGATATATTATACATTAGAGAAACGTTTGTTACAATTAAGTGAAATCTACGACAAAGTATTGAAAAAATCTCATTATTTAACCTATTCACTCTAATGTTCCATTATTTTTAGAACACTGTTGTTTAAGTAATTGTGCCTAATAAAATACCTGATGTGAATGAACGTTACAAGCCATAACATTCTTTGCTTACACACCACAGTAACGATGTTCCATATGATTTACCATTGTCTATATTGAAAGGTTAGCTGTAGACGCTGACTAATGATTGATGAATGATTGAGTGACTCATTGATAAAGTGACATTCATCGGTTATCGGTATTTGATACGGGCTGCACTGTACTATTGTCTAAATGAAAGCTTAGACAAAAGCTTGTGGCAATCTTTATTTTTCTAACGTCTCCTTTTCTATTGATGCAGAATTTACCTTCTTTAGAAAGCTTTTTTCCTGATGTATGTTTTATTCACTAATAACAGTTAACTTAAAGAGAACGGGATCACGTTCGTACCCAATATTGTACATTTTTGACACAATTAGACGTGACATCCTCCGTGGAGAAATACGTGCTCCTACTAAGAAAAATGTCAGTAAGTATTTTAGAAATTTCAATTGTGACTTGTAACATTTGTTGTGTTCGCACACAACCTTTTCAATTTGTTCGGCTCGTGTGCCGCCAATGAACGTCTCTAG